TTTCCTCTGGGATTAATGCCCAGGAGTGCAATTGCTGGGTCATATGGTAGTTGCATGTTTACTTTTTAACTAGTTTTCAAACTATTTTCTAGAGTGGCTGTACCATTCCTGCTAATGTGTGAATGATCTAGTGTCTGTGTATCTTCACCTGTATTTGGTGGTGTGACTTATTTGCACAACAGTGTGAATATACTAAATGCCACTAAATTATACACTTTATAATGGTTAATTTTATGTTATATGATTTCATTTCAGTATTTAAAAAAATCAGCTCTGAGATAACCACTTCAAGTAGTGTTTATAAGACCTAAATGAGAAAAAAAATCATTTGGACATATCTGTGTGGGACTATTTCTAGGCACTTTTCTGTTCCATTGATCTCTGTGTCTGTCCCTCTGCCAGTATCACACAGTCTTTTTTTTTTTTTTTTTCCACACAGTCTTGATTAGTATAGATATGTAATAAGTCTTGAAATTGGGTAAACTGATTTTCATTAATCTTTTTTCAGAATCACTTTAGTTATTCTAATTCTTTTGGCTTTCTTATACATTTTGCAATAATCTTATCTATACCTAGGAATTGTGTTAAATTTGTAAATCAGTTTGAGGAGAATTGGCATCTTTACTTTCTTGAGTCTTCCAATCCATGAATGTGGTATGTCTCTCCATTTATTTAGATCTTTGATTTCTTTCAATCAGTGTTTTGTAATTGTCCTATACAAGTCCTATACAGGTTTTGTTAGATTTACATCTGTGTTTTTCTTCTTTGAACAGTTATAAATGGCATTGTCTTTTTAGGTTTGGTGTCCACATGTTTTTTGCTAGTATATAGAAATACAGTTGATTTTTGCATGTTTGTAATGAATTTTGCTGAACTGACTTATTCTAGGAGTTTTTATTTTTTATTAAAAATATTTTTTTCATGTTTATTTTTGAGAGAGAGACAGAGTATGAGTGGGAAAGGTGCAGAGAGAGGGAGACACAGAATCTGAAGCAGGCTCCAGGCTCTGAGCTGTCAGAAGAAATATTTCCTTTTCTTGCTTTATTGCATGCCTAGAACTTCCACCACTCTGTTGAAGAAGAGTGGTGAGAAAAGGTTTCCTTGCCTTGTCCCAGGTCTTAGGGAAAAAAATGTTCAGTCTTTCTTTTTTTCTTTTTTTTTAAATAGTTTATTGTCAAGTTGGTTTCCATATAACACTCAGTGCTCATCCCCACAAGTGCCTTCCTCCATGCCCATCACCCCCCTTCCCCTCCCCCCCACAACCATCAGCCCTCAGTTTGTTCTCGGCACTCAAGAGTCTCTCATGGTTTGCCTCCCTCCCTCTCCCCCACTATTTTTCCCCTTCTTCTCCCCCACGGTCCTCCCTTAAGTTCCTCCTAATCCTCCTATACGTGCAAACATATGGTATCTGTCCTTCTCTGCCTGACTTATTTTGTTCAGCATGACACCCTTAAGGTCCATCCATGTTGCTACACATGGCCAGATTTCATTCTTTCTCATTGTCATGGAGTACTCCATTGTATAGATAAACCACATCTTCTTTTTTTTTTTTATTTATTTCTAGGAGAGGAAAGAGAGAGACAGCGTGAGCAGGGGAGGGTCAGAGAGAGAGGGAGATACAGACTCTGAAATAGGCTCCAGGCTCCGAGCTGGCAGTCAGCACAGAGCCCGATGCGGGCCTCGAACCCACGAACTGCGAGATCATGACCTAAGCAAAAGTCGGACGCTTAACCAACTAAGCCACCCAGGCGCCCCAAACCACATCTTCTTAATCCATTCGTCAGTTGATGGACACTTAGGCTCTTTCCATGTTTTGGCTATTGTTGAGAGTGCTGCTATGAACATTGGGGTACATGTGCCCCTATGCATCAGCACTCCTGTATCCCTTGGGTAAATTCCTAGCAGTGCTATTGCTGGGTCCTAGGGGAGTTCTATTGTTAATTTTGTGAGGAACCTCCACACTTTTCCAGAGGGGCTGCACCAGTTTACATTTCCACCAACAGTGTAGGAGGGTGCCCATTTCTCCACATCCTCTCTAGCATCTAGAGTCCTCTGATTTGCTCAAAAAATGTTCAGTCTTTCACTGTTAAGTATAATGCTAGCTGTAAGTTTTTGTAGATAGTCTATGAAGTTGAGGAAATGTTCTTCTATTCTTATTTTTCTGAGAATTTTTCTCATGAATAGGTGTTATATTTTGTCAAATGCTTTTTAGCCTGTTCATATATGGTGAGTTACATTAACTGATTTTTGAATAATTTTTTAAAATTTTTGTTTAAACTCCAGTTAACATACAGTGTAATATTAATTTCAAGTATACAGTATAGTGATCCGGCACTTCCATACAACACCGACTGCTTGTCACAAGTGCACTCCTTAATCCCCATCACCTATTTAACGTATCCCACTACCACTTCCCTTCTGGTAACCATCAGTCTGTTTTCTATAGTTAAGAGTCTGTTTCTTGGTTTGCCTCTCTTTCTTTTTTTTTTTCCCCTTTACTTGTTTTGTTTCTTAAATTCCACATATAAATGAAATAATTTGGTATTTGTCTTTCTCTGACTTATTTCACTTAGCATAATACCCTATCTAGCTCCAAGCATGATTTTGCAAATGGCAAGATTTCATTCTTTTTTGTGGATGAGTAGTATTCCATTATGCGTGTGTATATAATAATATATATTATTAAAGAAACTGCCATTTCCCTATTGTATATTCTTGGCTCCTGTGTCATAAATTAACTATCTTTGCATGGGTTTATTTCTGGGCTTTCTTTTCTATTGATCTATATCTGTTTTTATGGCAGTACCATACTATTTTAACTTCTATAACTTTGTAATATAGTTTGAAATCAGGGAGCATGATGCTTCCAGCTTAGTTTTTTTTCTCAAGATTGTTTTGGTTCTTCAGGGTCCTTTATGATTCCTTATACATCTCAGGATTATTTGTTTCATTTCTATAAAAGCCATTGGAATTTTGATAGGAATTACATTGAATCTACATATTGCTTTGGGTAGTATGGACATTTTAATAGTTTTAATTCTTCCAATCCATGAGCATGGAATATCTTCCCATGTATTTGTGTCTTCCTCAGTGTTTTTATTAATGTCTTGTTGTTTTCAATATATAGGTCACTTCCTTGGTAAAATATATTCCTAGATATTTTATTCTTTTTTATGCCATTATAAATGGGATTGTTTTCTTAATTTCTCTGAGAGTTCATTATTAGTGTATAGAAACAAGAGATTTTTGAATTATGGGTTTTATATTCTGCAACTTTGCTGAATTTATTCTATATAATACTCCAATTTTGATACCTTTTATTTCTCTTTCTTATCCTATTGCTCTGGTTAGGACTTCTAAAACTATTGAATGAAAGTGGCAAGAGTGGGCATTCTTGTTTCTGATCTTAGAGGAAAAGCTTTTAGCTTTTCATCATAGATGATATTAGTTGTGGGCTTGCCATATATATGGCATTTATTATGTTGCAGTACATTTCCTCTATACCTGCTTTGTTGAGAGTTTTTGTCGTAAATGGATGTTGACTTTTGTCAGATGCTTTTTCTGCATCTGTTGAGTTGATCATATGATTTTTATCCTTCATTTTGTTAGGGTAGTATATTCCATTAACTGTAAATGTTGAACCATCTTTGCATCCCTGGAATAAACCCCATTTAATCATCATATACAATCCTTTTATTATTATTATTTTAAAGTTTATTTATTTATTTTGAGAGAGAGAGCGTGAGCAGGTGAAGGACAGAGAAAGAGGGAGAGAGAGAGAATACCCAACAGGCTCTGTACTGTGAGCACGGAGCCCAACACAGGGCTCAGTCTCACGAACTGTGAGATCATGACCTGAGACAAAACCAAGAGTTGGACACTTAACTGACTGAGCCACCCAGGCGCCCCTTTTATGATATTTTTAAAGCTCATTTTTGTCACCTAGTTCATGCAGTACCTTAGATTTCCTATTATGAAACCTCAAGTTATTAGTTTATACAGTGAACCTAGAAATGCCTTTGTATAGAAGCAGTTGGAAGAAAATATGCAAGTATTGAGTTGAGAACCTGCTGTGCACCTTGCATGTACTGCATGGATGCAGATATCTGGGCGTTAGTTTTCCCACTTCCTCCTGTAAAGCAGCACCTTTACCAGTTTAAATGTCTATGAATTCCTCCCTGGAATAGACTTGTTTCTTTCCGGGGTTTGATGCATAAAAGCAGTCATCGTACAGATCAAAGATGCATTTAGTACCTTTATTCAGATTCTTGAATTGTAAATTTTGTAAATTGAAATCTGGTTTTGTTTCCAAAACAAAAAAACTGTTTCCCCAAAATGGAAGGAATTTAAGGTGTAAATAATTACTTCTTATAGGTATGAGAACTGTATTTCCTTATCCTGCCTCAACAAGTTGGTTGTAATTCTTAAGTTTTGAATAGATGGTGGTGACAAGTTTGAGCTATCTGGATTAATGAAGTTTCATTTCTTTTTGCAGTCATTAAAACTGTTCTCTCTTGGGCGCCTGGGTGGTTCCGTCACTTAAGCATCTGACTTCAGCTCAGGTCATGATCTCACAGTTCATGGTTTTGAGCCCCGCATTGGGCTCTGTGTTGACAGCTCAGAGCCTGGAGCCTGCTTTGGATTCTGTTTCCCTCTCTCAGCCCCTGCCCTGCTTACGTGTGTACTCTCTTTCTGTTTCTTTCTCTATTTTTCTCTCTCTCTCTCTCAAAAATAAATAAACATTAAAAAAAACACTGTTCTATTTTTAGTCATCAAGTATCTCCATGAAATAGATTTAAGATAATAAAAGATGAAAATTATATATGTGGATAAATTAAATTTATTTCAGGAGCCAGAATATACTCCAGATGCTTTCAAAAGTCTGGTATCCTGTTTGTATATATGTCTGAAAAATTATTCGTTAAAATGTAGAAAAATTAAGTACAAGTTTTAAATGTGCTTTAATAATTCCAGAATTTTAATTTCCATTTTATTTGCAGCTCAGATCGTCTAATAGAAGAGACAATAAGGTAGGGAAAATTTTTGTTTTCTTTTATTGTGTTTTTTGTGTGTTTGCAACATAAATGAACAGATCAGGTTAACCTGGTAACTAGGGTTAAAGTTCATTTATCATCCTTAAAGATGGGAATTTCACTAGATTGTGATATATTTTTACTGTGTCCTTCTTATAAGAGACATTTGAAGCACAAAAATATTTTATTTGTTTCCAGAATTACTAGAACTAGGCTGATTTACCTGGATTAATTTTTCTGATTAATTCATACTCTGCATTTTTAGCTTCAATCTTTTTATTTTCTTTTTTCTTTTTTAAAGAAAAACCATCTTAGACATGTGATTTGGTAAATGTCTTGTTTATACCATATATGCAGATTGGGTTTCAGTCACAGCGGCTGCAGAAAATGTGCTACAGTAATATTTAGTATTATATGTAATAACAGTAAAGTAGTTTATTGCTTAAGGTAAGGGACAATTATCTGTTGGTTTGAACTGCTTAATTCTCTAGGTTTGGTGAAGTTTTAGATACTATCTTATGACAGTAAAAAAGTAAATGGACTGGATACAATCTCTACAGTTAGAACTCAGCAGTGTCTAAAGCATTTTTCAGGAAAGCGATAATGAAGTACATGGAAAAAAACAACAAACAGATGTACTCTTACTGTAGACTTTGGTGTTGTGCTCAAATGCTTTACATGCTTTATTTTATTTAATTTCTTTGATAACCCATGAAATAAACACTTGTGTCCAAAACAAAAAAGAAATTAAGGTAAGTGATTTGCTTGTGGTGACATGACTGATGAATTGTGTTCAGGATTCAAATCCTCAAACCTGAATCTCTGTAATTCTAGGACCAGAGCTCTGTCTAAGCTACTACTGTATTTACCGCCTTGTAGAAAGTGTACAGGCTTCCGAATGTGATTTGGTTTGTGTGATTTATTAGATACCTGTTCTTGGTTAAGTTACTTGGAGCCTTTATTTTCTTATGTGTTCAAAAACAGGGATTGATGGGGCGCCTGGGTGGCTTAGTCGGTTAAGCGTCCGACTTTCGCTTAGGTCATGATCTCGCGGTTCGTGGTTTCGGGCCCCACGTTGGGCTCTGTGCTGACTGCCAGCTCAGAGCCTGGAGCCTGTTTCAGTCTGTGACTCCCTCTCTCTCTGACCCTTCCCTGCTCACGCTGTCTCTCTCTCTCTCTTAGAAATAAATTTTAAAAAAATATTTAAAAAAAAAAAAAAAACAGGGATTGATGATAATACCTACCTAAAAAATTGTTGTGAAGATTAAAGAAATATGAGCAAAATGCCTATTACAATGCATGGCTGATACTAGGTAATCTGTAAGTAGTAGCATTGTAAGCGGTGCCTGGTGGCTCAGTCGGTTGAACATCCGACCCTTGATTTTGGCTCAGGTCATGATCCCATTACCGTTGATATTTCAGATTTCAGGAAAATTCCAGTAGTACAAAAAATTCCCACATACACTTTACCTGGATTCTCCACATATTAACATTTTGCCACATTTGCTTTTTCACTTTCTTTTTTTGAACTACTTGAAAATAAATTGCAAACGTGATGCCTCTCTACCACTAAATATTTCATTGTTCACATTTTAAATATGTATTTATATTGATAAAGGCTCATCGATTCTTATTCAGTAGGTTATAGTGTTTCTATCATTATTTAATAAATTATAATCTCTTATAATATGTAGTTATCATATCTGCGGATTTTGTTTAAATTGCATGCCTTGGGGTTGTCCTTCTGAGCAAAGGTTTTTGCAGAATTGCCTGATTGTCAGCTGAAATATTTTCTTTGCGACTTCTTCCCTTTCAACAGCACATAAAGTGAGATCACATTTGCCAAGGAATTTTTACTTAAAGTTTCCCTATAATCCTTTTCTTGTTTTCTTCCTTGTTTTCCCCCTCCTCTTTCTGCCTGGTCTTCTTTGGGCCAGGCTGCCTTAATTAAGCTTTTCAATTCAAAGCTGGCCTATTTAAGAGCTGGTAATGGAGTGTAAAAAATTTGGAGTATTTCCTAGGATAGGAACATCTGAGAACTGTTGAATCACTACTACTATTATTTTGCTAGTTAAAAAGCAAAATATTAGAAGGTCTTTTATTTCACTATTTCCCTTTATTTCAAAATCTGGTAGGTGTCAGATTTTTATTGACTCTAAGTCTAGTTATGATTACTTACAGATAATATAAAATTTAAGTGTCAGATAATTATTTTTGCATATTCTGTATGTAACAATTTACTTTTTCCTCTTGGAGATAAAGATTTTAAGAATATGTACACAACTGAATATAAACTCTGGCATCACTTAATTGAAAAGAACTAATATTTTTAATATTTATTAATTTATTCTTAAGCTTTAAATGTATAACTGGTATTGTCTGTTGTTGAAAAAATAAGTGTCTGAGTTTAGTTCACAGAACAGGTAAGAAAGTTCCAGTAAGCACATCAATGATTTATCATTTTAAAAGCATTATATATTATTCGGAGCTTATGTTTTGCCTCTGAGTATTTGGCCCTTGAGATAACAACAGGCTAGATTTCACTCAGCTTGACTCCAAATGATGCAATGAGATGGGAAAGTATGTCTAGATATACTTTGTGTGGTACTGGCAATCATGCATATTCAACAAGATAATAACATAATGTATGATGATAATATCCATTCTCCAAGGAATACAAAGTGCTTTGTGGAAATTATTTTTTTTAATCTTCTTTATCTACTTCTGAGTCAGAGTGCATGGGAGATAGTGATAGTCCCAATGTAAAAAACAGGCATATATGATTCAAAGATTGCCTCTAGAAGCTCAGCCTAGCTTTAAATGAAATTGTGTTACTTTATACAAGACCGTAATGCCTGTTTTTGTTTTAATTTTTTAAATTGTTTTTATTTATTTCTGAGAGAAAGAGAGAGGGAGACACAGAATCAGAAGCAGGCTCCAGGCTCTGAGCTAGCTGTCAGCACAGACCCCGACACGGGGCTCGAACCCACTACCTGTGAGGTCATGACCTGAGCCGAAGTCGGACGCCCAACCGACTGAGCCACCCAGGCACCCCCATAATACCTGTTTTAAGGTACTTTATAACTTTATATTAAAACAATCACATTTTAAGGGCACCTGCATAGCTCAATTGGTTGAGCATCCGACCCTTGAATTTGGCTCAGGTCCTTATCCCAGGGTCATGGGATCAAGCCCCATGTTGAGTTCTGACACTGAGCATGGAGCCTGCTTAAGATCCTCCCTCTCACTCCCTTTGCACTTCTCCCTCACTGGCATGCATGCTCGCTCTCTCTCTAAAACAAAATATAGAAAAAATAAAACGGGTACCTGGGTGGCTCAGTCAGTTAAGCATCCGACTTCAGCTCAGGTCATGATCTCACAGGTCGTGGGTTTGAGCCCTGCATTGGGCTTTGTGCTGACAGCTCAAAGCCTGGAGCCTGCTTCAGATTCTGTGTCTCCTTCTTTCTCTGATCCTCCTCTACTCATGCTCTGTCTCTCTCTGTCTCTCAAAAATAAATAAATGTTAAAAAAAAATTTTAAGGGGCGCCTAGGTGGCTCGGTAGGTTAGGAGTCCGACTTTGGCTCAGGTCATGATCTCACGGTCCGTGGGTTCCAGCCTCGCGTTGGGCTCTGTGCCGACAGAGTCTGCTTTGCATTCTGTGTCTCCCTCTCTCTCTGCCCCTCCCCCACTCGTAATCTGTCTCTCTTAAAAATGAATAAATGTTAAATAAAAAATAATAAAATATTTTTAAAATTTTTAAATAAAATAAAACAAAATATAGGAAAAATAAAACAGGTGCCTGTGTGGCTCTGTTGGTTAAGCGTCCGACTCTTGATTTCAGCTCAGGTTCATGGTTCATGAGATTGAGCCTGTGTCCAGCTTTATGCTGACATCATGGAACCTGCTTGGGATTCTCTCTCTCCCTCTCTTTGCCCCTCCCCCCCAAAATAAATAAACATTAAAATAATTTTCATAGCCTCATTTTAAATGTATCATATTCTATCACAGACATATACTTAAAGTGAAAAATTATGAGTAAGAACTAATGATGCAGGGTCACCTGGATGGCTCAATTAGTTAAGCATCCAACTTGGGCTCAGCTCACGATCTCATGGTTTGTGGGCTCAGGCCCCTCATAGAGCTCTGCACTGACAGCATATGCCTGCTTGGGGTTCTCTCTCTCCCTCTCTCTGCCCCTCCCTGACTAGTGCTTTCTTTCTCTCACAAAATAAATAAACTTAAGGAAAAAAAAAAAAAAGAATGGCACAAAGGACGTTGTTTGGACTCTGTGTTCTTTTGGTCTTTTGGATCTAAAATTAACGTCGTCTGCTTCCTTCTGTTTTAATCTCAACTTGTTGTTTTCTAGACCTGCTGCACTGCACTGGGTCCTGGGATGCCCTATCCCCATTACCTGAAAATGACCTCCATTTTTTAAAAACATTTATTCATGAGAGAGAGAGGTAAAAAGAGAGAATCCCAAGCAGGCTCCACACTGTCAGCATAGAGCCTGACTTGGGCTCAAACTCACCAAGGGCGAGATCATGACCTTAGCCAAAATCGAGTCAGATGCTTAACTGACTGAGCCACCCAGGTGCCCCAGGGACCTCTTTTATTGGATCACCTATTTCTTGAATTTGGTGTCTACGTCTTCTTAGTTTATTTCCTCATTATGCTGGGCCACATTCTTTACTGGTTGCTGAGAAAGAACAGGAGGTACAGTTTTGGACTTCTATTCGTGATTCATCATTTAGTAAGCTAGAAATAATTTTGAAATTTTTGATGACATTGTGTCCAGTATTAAGTCCAGTGCCAGTTAAGATTTCTGTTCCTTTGTATATGATGAGCTTTTTTCCTCTGGAAGCTTTTAGGATCATTCCTTTTTCCCTTTGCTTTGGTGTTTTTTAACCTCCCCAGAGTGACCTTAGCATGCATCTTTTCCAGTTCATTGTGCTGGCCATGGGCTCCTGCAGTGTGGAAACTCCTCATCAGTTCTGAGAAATTTTCTTAAACTGTCATTTTGCCACCTCATTTTCTTTTTTTTTT